TTTTTTTTTTTTTTTTTTTTTTAATGAAGGGACTCTCTTTGCTTTGAATGGAGCCCCCTGGTGTTTTGAGGCAATCTAACATTTGTGCTATAGAATTTGATGGAGATGTATCAGATCTTTCCCCCAAGCTCTCTCTTTAAATGGGAGTAGTTCTAAATTTCTTACTAACTGGTTCTGAGTTTCTTACTAACTGCCTTCCACTCTTCCTGTGGTTGTGGTAGTCTTCTTCTTCTTCTTCTTTTTAAAATTTATTTATTTACTTTCTGTCTCTCGTACCTGTAAGGCCTATAGGCAGAGGTAAACAAAAACCAACCAACCAACCAAACAAACAAACAAACAAACAAAAATCTCAAAAACACCCCAGAAGGCATATTCATTTGAAAGCCTCTCAAGTCTCAGGAATACATGCAGGGACAATGGGGACCATGCCTTTGATAATATGGAGCCTCAATGAGGTGTCAGGGGATAAGTTTGGAGAGTTGAATCACTCACTGTGAAGACACAAAGGTCAGATGCATAAGAAGTTCAGGGGAGGAAGTGGTAGGGAAATCTCCAGTGGGAGGTGGAATTTGATCCACCTTCCAAAGGATGGGCAGGATTTAAGTAAATACCAGCAAGGGGGAGGATATTCCCTTGCAGTACAAGCAATGCATGGGATATGGTAGACCGGTTGACTAGTGTTCTGGTTAGGATTAGAATTGACTGTTTAGGATGATACATCTTCAAATGGCCGTGGCTTCAATGGAACTTATTTCTCTCTCTTTTAAATGAAGTCTGAAAGTAGGCAGCCTGAGAGAGAGGATGATTTCATGAACTTGTTAGACACCCAGGTATTCTTTAGCTACTTTCTTTGCCATTTGGGTGATGGTGGGGAGTGCTTGGTTCTTATCCTCATGGACCAAAAGGCAGCTAGAGTACCAGCCATCTTATCCATGATCTTAGAATTAATGTGGACAAAGGAGGAAAGACAGARTATATTCTTTTCCCTTTTAATGGAATGCTCTAGATAGACCACACACATTCGTTTCTATCTTTTACTGAAATTTAGTCACATGACCATACCTACACTTATTTAGAAGGGAGCCTGAGAATTTAGCCTTATGGGGAGCATAGCTTCTCAATCTGTAGAAACTTAAAAGCAAGTGCCTCCCTGTAATCTTGTCTTAAAATGAATCTCCTTGAGGCTTGACCACACCCAACATACCCATTTATATTCTTTTAAAATAGCACACACAGGTCCTCTGAGWTTCAGGGCAGGACCAAATTATTTTACCATTCTCCAGATATTCTATTGCTAATGCATCCTGGGCTCTGTCAACACCAAAGCCAATCTTGTACTGACCYATATTGAAAACTATGGGATCTTAGCGTCTCTCTATTTGTCTCCCATCTTCCTAGTCATGAGCAAAGTCTTGTTATGCTTAATGATGTCTCTTGTCTCATTTGTGAGAGCCACTGAGGCAGCCTTTGGAGTAGCTGGCTTGAGCCTTTCTTGTTTCTTTGTGATTCATTTTTCATATTGAAGCCAGGGTGATGTGTTTAAAAATACAAATCTAATCATATTATTCCTGAAATAAAAAACCTTTCAGAGGTCTTTCATTGGTCTTTCTCTCCAGATGCAATCTTTAACATGGCCCATAGGATTCCACCTGGTGCATCTCTTCCGGCTTCTCCTAAATCTCCTCTCACATCTCATCATCATCTTCTCTTTCTCTCCCTCCTTTCTTTCTGTTCTTTCCCTCAGAACTATTCATTACACATCTATGATGTGACAGATGCTATCGTAGACACCAAGGACACAAGTGTGAACAAGAGCTTACAGGGCAGTGGGCAAATCAGTCAATAAACATGGACAATTGGGAGTAGTTCCAGGAGTTATAAAGAGAACAAGATAAGGTGATGTTTTAAAGAGGGATTGCAGCGGGGAGGGAAGGGATCTTTGAAGAATGACTCCTTGAAATAAATGCCTGGGACTCAGCTCTATGAACATCTGGGGGAGGTTCCATGCAGGGGGACCGACCATCAAGTGCAAGATCACCTGGGAGAGGAGGAGCTGGGCTTAGGTGAAGAGGAGCGGGCAGGCCAGAGTCCTGGGAACAGAGTAAAGGGGTAGAATCGCAGATTGTCTTGAAGGTCCTTCCAGACACTAGTAAGGAGTTTGATGCCTGTGGATGCATTTCCAATTGTTCTGATTACATTTAGACCTGTTTTAAATTCTCAGTGACCTGTTTTATCCCCACCTGTAGCAATAGTCCAGCAACATTCATAAGGC